AATTCCTCCACCTGAAGTTTGCAAAACCAAGATATTGGAATTGATGAGGTATCAATTGATGAGTAAAATTCATTGAAATATTATGTGCTACAATAACAATATTTATTATTTGCTATTTACTATGCATCTGGTTTATATATTTATCCTCCTATTTACTATGCTTCTTCTTTTGCACGTTCAACCTTGTATTTACTTCACATTTCTTCTGCACATGCATCAACTTTAAATCATACATCATACATTTAAATTAATTAGATATTTTTACTTTGATTTTAGAGTGTTTTCAACAGTGATGCAATCACTTAGTACCAACTTCACACCAAAGCAAGGACCTCCGATCACTGAAGGCTATATCTTAGATGTAAGTCCTAATCATTATATCATAACATTGCAAGATCAGATTGCCTTCATATGTTATATACTCATGTGAGGTGGACATACCCGTTGATTTTGTTCTGCTTGGCACCTATTTAAGATAGGAGAGTAAGCCATTCCATTCCAATGAGATTGTCCATTCCTTGAGACAGGGCTGAAAAAAGTGTGCGGCTGGCAGTCGGAGGAAGCCTAATTGTCCCGGAGGCATTTTGGGTGAATAAATTAAAAAAAATTTACTGTTGGGTTATATAGTGTACTGATAACATTAGGTGCTCAAGGTCAGAGGCACAAATATTTTGATGTATTTCAATTTTTTTTAAAGATATTTAGAAGTTTGATCTGTTGTGTGAAGATTGTACAGCAAAGATGCTACGACAGGGCATTGACATTCCATGGTACAAATTTGTTTATCAATTTGCAATAATGATGATCTAACACTGATGATATGATCACAAACTAATGTGTTAGGTAGCTGATTATGTGTGATGTAACAGCTGGTGATATGATCACATAGCTGATGTGTTATGTAGGTGATATATGATCACAAAGCTGCTGTGTTGTGGAGCTGATGATGTGATGTAACAGCTAATGATATGATCACAAAGCTGATGTTTTATGTAACTGATGATGTGATGTAACAGCTAATGATACGATCACAAAGCTGATGTTTTATGTAACTGATGATGTGATGTAACAGCTAATGATATGATCACAAAGCTGATGTTTTATGTAACTGATGATGTGATGTAACAGCTAATGATATGATCACAAAGCCGATGTGTTATGTAGCTGATGATGTGATGTAACAGCTAATGATATGATCACATAGCTGATGTGTTATGTAGCTGATGATGTGATGTAACAGCTAATGATATGATCACATAGCTGATGTGTTATGTAACTGGTGATATGATCACAAAGCTGATGTTTTATGTAACTGACGATGTGATGTAACAGCTAATGATATGATCACAAAGCCGATGTGTTATGTAGCTGATGATGTGGTCTGATAGTTGATATGATGTTATTTCAAAGAATCACATGTATTTTACAATGACAGTGTTTTCTCGTATTATATTAATATTATATTAATGTTTGCCTGACACTTTCTTTGATAGCCAATCAATGTCTGTTGTTAACTTGTGAATGTGTGCAGACCTATTTGTCAATTGCTGCTACAGACTTGCTTACTTATGCCATTCAGCAATTGAATGTTCTTCTTGAGAACAACCTCACTTTTGGAAAACCACTAAGCATCATGCTTGATATCATTCAAAAGGTAAATGAAAAAACTATTTATTAAGAGCTCAACAAAGTGGAAATGCAAAAAATTTACTGAAATTCTGACACAACTAATATACCTGTCTCTTATACACATCTAGATGTGTATAAGAGACAGGACATAATTAATGTCGAAATACTGAATCCCGACACGATGGCGTGCATTTCGATGCTTGCTGTAGCATCCTATGTTTTATAGTACAGTACGTAATAAAAAAAAAAACAGGGCTACATTTCAAATCGAACAAATAAATCATTATGCTAATCAAAGAAAGTATCAATTAGTCAATGTAATGGAGCAGCACTGCCGTTAATATTTCTTGCATTTTTTAAAAACATGTTTTTTTTGGGGAATGATTTGCATTTTTTCTGCAATTTGAGGGTTTTTGTTTATGCCTGGTTGCTGTAGAGATTCCTTTTAAAGATAGGTTTGATAAATATGTGAATTAGTTAATAATTATCCACATTTTTAAGTATAGTATGCTTTTTATAACACAGTGGCTATATTTCATATATGAAAACATGTTCTGCTATTCATGATTATAACATTCTTATTGATTTGCAGGTGTTTGAATGCTGTACGGGGGATATATCCCAAGATGTAATCATTGGATTAATTGGTCCAGAATCTGTGTTACATCAACTCAGATATCAACCATCCAACAATGTAAAGTTTCATTTGAAGTGTTTTTATTTGTACTTTTATATGTTTACTACAGTATATTTACGATGAGTAGGAAATAACTCATTGAAATTATTTTTATTACAGTACCTTCCAGTCCTTGTGGACTTCTACCGTTCTCTGCTATCTATCAAGAACATACCATCCTTGGAAGCTGTTTACAAGTAATCTACTTATCTATTAAATATAAATTGATTACTTTATAATAGTAGGGTAGGCATAGCGTTGTCAGTATTTGATGTGTTTCTAAGATTTTGTTGGTTATTTATTATTGTATGTAGGTATTTTCCATACTTTGATCTTATAACTATTACATTTGTCTTCGTTTGTTTAAAGTTGTATTTTGAGTGACTTGGAAATGGCATATGTAAAATTACTTGGACTAGCCGGCAGTACAGCTCGTATCAGTGTTGTCAAAAACAACTGTTTTTGCAAAGTAAAGTACACAGAGGAGAGAGCAAGAATTGCAGTCATTCTTAATCTTTCTGCTTTGTCTCAAATTGCAAGCAACAAATCCTCAATTATAGGGGTAGGTGTTATTGATATTCATATTATGTTTATGATACTGTATTGATGATGTGCTCTTGTGACAAACTATTTCTACATCAACCAAAGGTTGGAAGGTGCTGATGCTCAACATACTGCCTTTGAGTATCTGCGCATACTTATATATACTACCTCGATTGGATAATTAGTATATGGATTCTGCTCGAAATTCTTTAGGGAATTAATTTGGATTTTGTTTATTTTGTTGTGAAATAGACACTGCACCTTGAGCACCATTGGTGGAGATGTGCGCTTTAAATCTTTATTATATTATTATTATTGATATTTATTGATGATATTGTTGATATTAATAACATTTATGATATTGTGGATGAATTTTAAAATTTATATTTATTATAGTAATGATGTTTGTTATTTGATATTTATATTTATTGTATTGATGATCTTAATGATATGATATTTTTAATACTTAGGATACTTATGTTTATTATATTATTTGATTATTTTTCATATCATGGTATAAATAATATAAGGCTTTTCCCACCTCACTGGAACTATGCCTTTGTTTTTGGTCATTCCCAACCCCCATTCCCGCCTCACTGGAACTATGCCTTGTTTTGGTCCTTCCCACCACCTTTTTCCTGCCTACTGGAATTATGCCTTCGTTTTGGTCGTTCCCACCCCTTTTACCGCCACTGGAACTAAGCCTTTGTATGGGCGTTCCCACCCTTTCTCTTAGTGAAGAATGGCTTTTGTTTTAACCTTTTACTAGCAGTCTTCTCATTGGTCAGTTTATTCATCCAATCAGCAACCAGCATCTCTACCCCTGTTTGGAATTTCTGCAAATATTATTCTCCTGAAGACGATTCAAGCAACTCAATCGAAACGTCAAGATTTTCTTAACTGCAACATTTTTTTTCAGAACTACCTACGTGGTGTACCGCAAGCTTAAACATAGATGATTATGATATTGCTATTTATTATATTGATGATATTGTTGATATTTATGTTATGATATTTATAATATTAAATTGATGATATTTATGACATTTTAATATTTATGATACCACATTTACTATTGATTATATTGATGATATTGTTGATATTGATGACATTTTTACATGATGACAATATTTATTGTATTGTTTATGTTCATGCTATTTTTTTATATTTATGATACTTATGATATTTATTGATGGTATTGTTGATAATTTATGACATGATGTTTATGATATTGAATTCATGATCAGATGTTTATGATATTTATGACATTTTAAATATTCATGATGCCATATTTATTATTAATGATATTGATGATGTAGATATTTATGGTACTTATGATGATATTGTTGATATTGATGGCATTTATCATATTGATATTTATTACATTGATGATGTTTGATATTTATGATGCTGATGATATTGTTTTTGATAATTAACATTTATTTCACTTTGAAAAATAATAATAATAATAATAATAATAATAATAATAATAATAATAATAATAATAATAATAATAATAATAATAATAATTGTATTAACTTAAAAATGTTTGATTACCACTGCTGTATAGCCTAGATGAACAACTTTTCAAATTTATGACAATTATTTTTATAATTAGATACCAAAGCTGCTGAAGACCATGAAAACCCCAGCCTCAAAAATGATCTATAATTTAACTTCAGTAAGCATACTTAAGATTTGGAGCAGTAAGTAGTATGCTGTAATTATTATTAATTTCTCTTTTTTCAGATGTGGGCATTATCTCCTAATGTCTTTGACCTTTGTACTCAACATCTGTCTTTGGCTGATTGGAAGATGGCAGAACATTTTCCATCTGTACACTTTACGTTACTTCTTATCATTTTCACACACTGTGAAAGGTTTGTATTTTGACTTATTTATTTGTTAAACTAGGTTCCCACTTAAGTAAAATGTTACCCAGTATTACAGTAGTATAATGTAATATACTTACCATATACAGTAGTTGTAAATCATGACCTGCGGTGAACAAATTGTCGCTACATCACAAACTAACACAATCAAAGTAGATGGTGTTAGTTCATAAAATCAGAGTAGCGCGTCAAAACGGCCGCGTATTGGTTGTCAAGCACTTTTGTATTCTTTACCACACAAAAAGTCGTTAAGAACAACAGCGCGTATTTTGACGGGTTTTCTTGATTTAATGAACTAACACAATCTACTTTGATTTTGTTAGTTCATGATGTGAGTGACGAAGTTAGAGCACATTTAAATGAACAAAACATTCAAAAAGGCAAACATAAAAAAAAACTAGAGCAGTCACTCCATAGAGTACGTACCTCCACCCTGTGCCTGATTACCAACAATAAGCGAGCCATGTATGCAAAACTGCAGCATACCCTCAAGAAAATAATGGAATCGTCCATTGAATTCAACTAAATTAATTTTTTGAGAAAAATGTGCAATTTTTCCAACTGCTGGTCACAAATGGTCACATAGTTTTTAGAGCCATGACACTTAGTAACAAATCATAAATAATAAATTGTTGATATTTTGTTTATGTTGATAGTCATGGTCACTTTATAACAAGCTCTATGTCAAGGGTTGGTTTATTTGATGGAGGACTGGTGGCAGCTTCTACATCCAAGACAAGTGGTTACCTACACAATATCCTGCAGCTATTGGCAAAGATTCTACCAAATCCATCTCTCTCATACGATTCAAGGTTTAATATTTTTGTAAATTAACATATTTAAGTATTAAGAGTTTCTCTTGTACAAGTACAAAGATAAGGCCAAAAAAAAAATGTTATTTCGGAAGTGGTATTTCTTGAATTTGTGCTCAAACAAAATAAAAAAAAAAAATGCCGACCCCATTTTTTGGAAAATTTTGGTCGGTCGCGGGGGGCAACACAACATATTATTTTTGGCCTAAATATACAAAGAATATTGAACAAAATAAACATTTTTTTAAATGTTGCTCATTATATCCAGTATGAATTGGGTATTAGATGTCTGATTATTAACAGATTAAAACTGACCATGTTCTCTTCATTGTGTGTATCAGGTTACTGTCTGTAAAATGGATGCTGAGTCTTGGTGATAGCTTCAAACAGTGTAAGGAGTTGCATCATATCTTCACATCCAAGCAGTTACACAAGTCTCTGGAAGCACTTCTACCTTTA